CCAGGGTACCCACCCCATTCACTAGTGGCCCCACGTTCTCCCTGACCTTCCTTTTGTTGTTGATATATTTGAAGAAGTTTTTCTTGTTACTCTTAACATCTCGTGCCAGATTTAATTCCAGTTGCACTTACTTTAGAAGAGCCAGAGCTGCTTCATCAATACTTGTCACACGAAGGGTGAGAATGGGGTTCTGCTTAACACTTTCTGGAAGGTTATGATCACCACTTTGGAAAGTGAGGTTAGCTCCCTGAGGACAGAGAAGATAATGAATCACAAATCAATCATACATTTTCTGCACATCACCATGTTCTGCATGTCTTTCAGGAAGCATAATTCTTGGTATGAAATGGCAGAAAAGTGCAGCTATGTCCAGTTAACCTTCTTAACAGAGCCTTTCTAGCACATACACACACCCCAAACACGTCCATAACAGCTGCAAGCGCAAAGCTCAGACTCATCATCTTCCACATACAGGTTCTGCCCTAGTACAAGAGGCTGCTGTGCCCTATTCACAGCTCAGCAATGTGAGGTGGCAGAGTGTTGTTCCTTCACTGCCTGGCTCCACTTTTTCTTTTCCTCTCCTTCTTTCATCACTGCAGCATCCAAAAATCTCTAGACTACAAAACAGTTTCAGGTGGAAGGTGCTACATTGATTCTGAGACAAGAAACTCCTTTCAAACTAGAAGAAATCCTCCATACCTATTTTAAACAACCTAAAATGCAGGTTTAAGAGATACAAACAACTAAGAAGTAGCCATTTAAAAGTTCAGATCATTCATTAAATGCTTAAATATATAATAATTCTTTAAAATTACTGGACTAGGAGGAGGGAAGGCTTCATGCAGGCTTCAGTGGTGAAGACTCCCAAACCCATTAAGCAGTAAGGACCAGTCTGCCAGCCACATGGATTTTGACAGGCAGTTGTACATCTTAACTTCAGCCCGGAAAACCACTTTGCAGATATGGGGACTTAAAGATAAGCCACCATTCCAAGGGCTAGCAAACTGAGTAAGAGCACATTTTCTGGATGCCTTAAAGAAGCATCTCTGTCTGGAGCATGTTTAATTCTTTCCATCTGCATCTACATCTTGCAGACATATTAACAGCAACCACAAAAGTTGTCTATGGCTGCAACTGCAATATGATGAAGTCATCTACTTCATCTTTTACACATTTACAGGGTAGCCACATATAAAGAGTTAAGAGAAGGTAGATGATCAGATGAAATACTCTAGAATTAATGCTTAGTTCTTTTATTTTCACATTCAAATATATCATCACTTGAAGCTTAAGATTAGATGGCAAATTAAAGTCTGAAAACTCAATGGAAATATTCTGTACCTGAAAAAAAACCAAGAAGACCTAACCCACAAATCCGGCAGTACAGAAGATGCAATATCATCTACAGTCACTGATAAGATTAACCTTGACTTTAGATATTTTATATTCAAATGAACACCTTTTCCAAAAGTTTATTCCTAAACATGTGGTGATTAATTTCCTGAAAGTTTGGGTTAAAAACAACTACCGTTGGGTTAAACGAAACGTCTATCATTCCTCAGCGTCAAAAGTGCCAGCAGACCTTGCTAAGTTTCCTAATTTTGAACAAATACTTTAGTCTATTTGATGTTCAAGACCCTCCTGACGGGGCTGTTTTAACATTCTTTAACTTTTACCAATCGTTCACTGTCTGCAGCCTTATGTCCTCTAGTGGTAAAAGGACAAACTACAGTTTAAACTAAAGCGGTAGCCCTAAACATTGACAGCAAAATAATCCAGACTTCTGAAAACCTTAAATGGGAGAAGCCTACTGAAGTCAACTGCAAGTCTTGCCCTAAACGCTAGATCACAATGCGTCACTCTAGATATTATTTTAAATCATCAATAAAATTGACATATGTTCAATAGAAGAATACTTACGATATAAAAGTCACTGAGAGCATAAGCTTTTCCCTTCTTTTGTCCTTGCTGGTGCTGATAAATCCCCTTCTGAATGAAAGGCAAGGCATTTGTTCTGTGAAATAATTCAAAACTGATCATAAAACAACTGCTGAGCCTCTTAGATTTGTTGTAATACGTAACACACTCCAAATAGGACTTACCCTACCTATTTTTTCCAAACTGTCGAAATTCATACACAGTAATGGATCTGTCATATGCAAAAAAAAATCCAATCAATTCTCTACAAGCATCACGACCATTTCTAGAAGGAAAATGGAAAATCATCATTTTATCTTTGCATTTATACAAACCACACTCAAGTCAAACAGAAATAAAATACGTATTTCACAATAGTCGTGTTATGTTCAGTGTTACTTACTGCATAATCCATTTCTTTGAATGAGATACCTGGCTCTTTTTACTTAAATACCATGTAATTCAGGCTATATATTTGGACACATGTCTTAATTCAATTTCATTTCTTCATAATATTACAAACACCTTTCAAAACTGCAACTCTAGGATACCAATGTAATTTTCATTCATTAACTAAAGGATTACCGAAATCAGGACTCCTGCATTCATTGTGGTGCATAAAGTGATGCACCACATGGCTGAATCCTCACCTGCATCTACCAAGTAGGTTATGTAGCTCAGTGATTCAGAAAATTTGGACTTGTCACAAAGATACTAAAATTTGTGGATTCAGTGCATGCAAAGTGCTGCAAACAAGATAAAGCCACGCAATGGCTGCTGCATGTTAAAATAAGGCAAAAAGAAATTTTAAGTAACTGAGGTACAGTGGTTAAGAGCACTGTTCCACACAATTCTTGTGTCCTGCACAGAGCTAAGATGGATATAATTACAACATTATTTAAGTATAATAATGCTGTGCAATGGGACTGTAAACCACTAACAGTCAGCCACAGCAAAATCTGTATTCATACATGTATATATATAAACCCTAATCTCACATGCTATTTATTTTTCAGAGGTCAGAAAGAAAGGTTCAGTGCAATTAATTATTTCAAGAGGGTAAAGATCACCATTCATAAATTCATAAAACCGAAAATCTTTACAAAGATTTGTGATTACCTTGATACAATCCTACTATCAAAGCGTAGCTTGTTAGAAAGCATGTTTTCAGTTAATCCTGATTTGGTCTTTATTCTGTGAAAACAATTCAACTGGTTAACACCTACGTGCTCACAAAGCAATATTACATTAAAATCAGCAGTTTCAAAACAGTAAAACGTGAAATACGGTATCCTTGGCAACCTGGCTGAAGGGATGATCCCTTGCAGCTGAATTGGAAAGAACCTCAGAGTTTCTTTGAAAGTGAAAGGCATTCTGCAATTGCATCATACAACTGCTCACCAGAGAAAAAGACTGCAGCCACACAAATTATAGCAATCTATCTTGTTCAGGTATGCTGATGTCAATAATTAAACCTCCACCATGCTTCTACCCCACAATATATTTTCTTGCAAAATACCCATGTGGGGTCTTCTTTACTCTCCTGGGTACTTTATATCAACCATGAGTATAGATCACTATTTCCAGAAATGGATGTACATCCATATGATGGACGTAAGAGACTGAGACTGTGCAATTGTTCATAAAAATAATACTTTTTATTGCCGTTTTTTTTGTTTTAAAAGAATATGGATAAAATAGAAACCTGTTGAGAAAACCTAAAAATATGATATTAAAATAAGCAAACAGAAATATTTACCTGCGTATGAGACAATTTAACAACAGAAAAAATAAGAACTATACATCCGTCTCATTATCAAAATGTTTTCTTGCTTTTTCTCAAGATCTTAGAGTAACCATTTCAATTTTCACAGGCAAGAAATGACTTTTAAATGCCCAGTTACCTATTTCAGCAGAAATCAAAACATGAGAGAAAGTCTGATTATGTTGTGAAGATCTACATCAGTATCTGCTAATATATGCTTTTGCTGGGCAAAGTGAGTGAGAAAAAAAGGGTGTACAGCTTGTGGAAGAAGGGACAGGCCACGTGGGAGGAATACAGGCACATTGTCAGRGAHTGMASATGYDAAABGAGGAAGGCCAAAGCCCGGGTGGAATTAGAGTTGGCGAGGCAAGTCAGAGACAACAGGAAGGGTTTCTATAAGTATGTCAATAGCAAGAGGAAGACGAGGGAAAATGTTAGTGC